TATATAACACGCCTACCTCTTTTTTTATGATTCTGTCAGCATCTTCTTGACTTTCAAAGGTGACAAAGCCATATCTGAAGCAAAAGAAGATGAACTAAATATTATCAGACAAGCCCACAATTTTAACTCAAAAGGACTGCAGCTCTGCACAATCTCATCTATAGCACCAATGTGTAAATTCTATAAGGGTGGCGGGGGGACCCCAATGCACTGTACGAGCTTAAAACAAATGCAAGAAACTCAAAAATCTAACCTCTGCTCTCAATCATTAATTTACTTGTCACAAGTTGGTAACTAGGAAAACAGAGACACAGAACACATGTGATTATAAACCACATGGGACGTGGTTATAATCCACACGCAGAAAGAAGAAAAGCGGCCCAATCTTCTGCAATGAGACAATGAGACATCCGATACAGTGATCCTTAAGACAATTTGACTTCCTCCTCCATTACACCCTACAGATTCAAGCAATACCAACATGTCCATGGAGTGCTGGGGGGGGAGAACCTACCCTTTTGATACTCCAGCTCGATCTGTTATGATTTTTGTGTCCTTCACAGCACCAAACGCAGAAAAATATTGTTTCAGCTCTGCATCTGTAGTCTTTAGAAATAAAAAAAAAATTATAGCGAGCTTCAGGCAAATACCATACTGGTACCTGAATAGTCAATATAAATTAAATCGTATTTTTCAGTGTCCATAAAAAAGGACTTCCTTGACAAAATAGAACAAAATTTATAAACAATCCTTCTGGAACATTCCCCAAGACTCATACCAAGTTACAGTGATGAGTCGCACTTACACAAATGACCATTCTAAAATTGTACAAATTACGTTGGGGGGGGGGGGAGGGAGAAGATGATTTACCCATATGATTTGAAAGGGAAAAATACCATCCAGTTTCAAACTCGTTTAAATAAACGCATCCTTCTGATCACCTACTTGATTTGAAACGCCTCAATTCAAATCAATTTCACCATGAAATGTTTGTCACTTGTGTAACAAGCTCATTTCAAATGCATGAAAACTTCAATTCATAGAAAGATGGAGAAGTTGTTTCCTGGATCCTTTCTTAGAGACTAAAGATGTCAGGCACAGCATTTTCAGTTAAAATTTCACTGGATGTAACAAAATAACCCAATAATACAGACACTATTACTTGTGAAACTTTAAGAAAATTTCTCAGTACAAACACAAACAGACTTATGCGCAAACACTTGCTCACATTTATGGGACCAGGGGCAATAACAGTAGGATGCACAGCTGTAGGACCACTAGAAAATGAGGGTGAACATGCTGATCGGTAAGTAAAATCTAGAGCATCAGCAGGAAAGCCGTTAACAAGACATGGGCAGAAATCTTGAAAAATAGTTAAAACTTACGTTTGCGGCAATCCCACCGACAAAAATTCGACTTGGTATTATGGTTCCATATTTTGGTGCATGGCCACCAGTCAAAGGAGTAGAACTTGGGGTAGTCACAGGAGATCCATCAGCTGAAGACTGGGGGAAAAAAATTTAAAAATTGAGAGTAAGAAATAGCAAGTTCACCGATTCATACCCTATGGACAGGTAGCACTGGGTGAGCGATGTTTGGGGGGTGACTGAAATGTGTAAAACTTGATGGGTCAATTGAAGAGCATTTTGAGATTTTCCCTCTGCTCATGACTGGCCACTTGAAGCGCAACTTTGTGAAGTTTCTCTGTATTGTTTGAGCAACTATTCAACTGCACCTCAAGAACTTAAAAATGGTGAAATGATATAGGTTTAACTAAGTTGCAATAGGCTACCTTTTCCCTTTGATTATCATCAACAGTTTCCCCTTAACTCTTCCCCAAATATTAGTGCCCATGACTACGAGTAAGGTCTTTCTACTTTTTTCCACCACTTTTTCAACAACTCTGGACATACATAGACTAGGGAATCCTTCATAAAAGTCAGATTTCTTCTGAGTATTAATGAAAACACACACACATCCCACAAAGGAGGTGACAGTTATCACTAAAATTTCAATTGTATTCACAAGGTTCGCATAAACACAAAACTAGGAACCCCGGAGAGCAGAGATAACTTCCACAGGGGGTGACATATATTCATACACGCTCAAGAGTAAAGATACATACCGTACACACAATTATAATTCTAGTATCTCATAACAATAACAGGGTCTTATGAATCTTATATAAATAAAATAAACTGAACAAGGAATTTCATGATAATTATTTCTCTTAGCAGTGTCTTTCTGCTGTTATTCCTCTTGGAGCTATAGAGCCATGATCTTCTAGCTTGTCAGTATTCAGTGCAAAGTAAGGCTGCTCCTGTTGGCTTTCCTTGGGGCAGCTTGAGGTGGACTGAATAAAAATAAATTAATAAATCACAATTTTATTGATCCCAGAAGGGCAATTTGGTTTACAACGGCAAACAAAAATACATAAAAACACATACACATATTACACTGATACAGAACATCTTTTTTTATTGGTAAGTTTTACAGCGCTCGCAACTGCATAAGGTCATATGAGTGCGCGAAAAAGTTGGCTCCATTCGCAACAGTTCACGGCACAGCCCAATTCTGGTCAACACCTCCGTTAAAAGGCTAAAATACAAATTGATGTAAATAAATTTTAATTAAAAATAATTTGTAAAATAATATTAACAATTTTAATGTTATTCACAATTTTCCATTAAGGCCAGTGGCCTTTATAAAATCAAGGATTCTGTTGGGATCAACGACGGAAAACATCTTACAACTTTTTGCATCTAAAATATTTCCTTCGGGTCTCTGACATTCTGTTAAAAGTGTATGTTTTTAAGGTCGTCAAGGCCTCCGAGGCTGAAGGGTTTGACGAGTCTTTCGTAATTTGTTTATGGTGTCTAGGTTTGTTCTGAAAATACAGTAATGTGCAGGGTTCTCTAGTCTTGAGCTGTTTAATTGCGTACTGTAGTGAGAGTTGTGTGCATCTGTGAGGTTAGTTGTACAATTGGAATTAATTGTACAATTGTTATAATTACATGTATTGTAGTTAGAAATAATTGTACTTGTACAGCTGAATTTAATTTTGACAATTATTGCATGAAAACCTCGCCCACATGTTTTGTTTCCGGTCTTGTGCCTTGGCTGTGTTCCGCGAGAACGAGGTAAGAAAATGCTCCAACTTTTTATGGGTTTCACTAGACAACAGTTGCCAGGCAGTGAGCTTTTGCATACGGCCTACAACACCCAACACCGAGAGGAGTTGCTGTGTTAGATATTGTTACTTTTATGAAAGAATTGCTTTTCCCACACTTCCCATGATTGCCTGGGGCTAACCGTACTGTCATTGAGGGTTGGTACACAGGTATTATTATTTATTTAGTTAGTAGTATAAGGTTTTACGGCGCTCGCAACTGCTAAGGTCATATGAGCGCGCGAAACACAAGTTGTTCACCTCTGCG